TATCCCCCGGGGTATCCTGTGGGGAATGCTCCGGGAGTATAGGGTACGGGCACAACTGACAACTGACCTTGTCATAAACAGAAATACAGAAATATCACATATAAATAATGCAACTGCATTTCAACACATGGTTTGATCTCTAATCTTAAAACATTCCAGAATAGAACCTAGAGATATAATCTTGAACTACCCAATTAACAAAAAATGTTATCCATTCAGCTCATCAGCTGATTTTGTAGGATTTGCCTGTTCAAGTTTCAGACTTCTCATTCCCTTTTTGTGAGATCACATGATCAGTGATAAGAAAATTCCCTTTGTACTGCACTCAATTTGTTATTTCAAAGTCATGTGTCTTTAATACTACAAAGTAGTGCATTTTTTATATATAGGCATACTTGAGGCATCTTTCATTACAAACTGTATTTTCATTTATTTGTACTGTTTTTCAGGCACTACAGCACCCTGACTCTTGGTACACTCTGGACAGGTCACCAGTGGATTGCAGGGCCACACAGACACAGACTCTCCTTGGAGCAATTTGGAGTGTCGAATTAGCCTAACATGCATGCTTCTGGACGGCAGAAAGAAGCTGGAGTACCCAGAGAAAACCCACACAGACACAATGATAACATGCAAACTTCACACAAAAAGATCCTAGTCCCCCAGGGACCTGAATCAGGAATCATCTTGGTGACAGTTTTAACCACCACACCTTGCTGCCCCATGTAGAAAAGACTCTGCTCAATGGGAACTTTAGCTGAGGTTACACTAGAAGTATCAGTAATGCCGTGCTGGTGTCTGCTGAATGGCTAAATACATGTAGATAGTGGAATTACAAATCTCAAAGTTTAAGATCATGAGGCTCTTCCTCTGACCGAGACAAAAGATCTGAAGTCATGATCTTTAATTCTGGCGCAAACATTAATCAGGTGGGATGAATGTGCAATTGGTGGAATTTACAGAAAAAAGGTTAATTCTACTAGATGAAGTTTTACAACGTGTGTGTGTGAATGGTATGAAAGAAAGAAGAAGTCTGAAAGTAACCTGAATAACCTAACTATTCTAACCCCTTCCAATTCTCTTGTTCGCCAAGTAAATGATTTGAATGACCAAAAGCACAAGCTAAAGTGAATAACTTCCCTATGGAAAAGTAAATCTTCCACTCTGAAACTGACTGATTTTGCTTGACTCCGGAAAGCAGGTGCCA